AGAACTTCAATAGTTAAATCGTTGACCCCATTTTCTCTGAGTATTACACAAAAATTCCTAGAATCAGCAAATACTATCAACTTAAAAACGAGTCTATAGACTATGATATACAGATACCTGCGCTTGAAAGTGTAAGGTGTGATGTTGCCAGACGAGTCGTGTGCAGCCCACCCGGAAACAGTCAGCGTGTGGTTTGGAGTAGTCTGAGCCATCGCACCCTCAGACTCAACAGAGAGACACAGAGAGAGAGAGAGAGGAATGGTTGTGGGAACTCTTAAAAGTCTCTTGACTGCACTGGGCGAAGCTAATTGGACGTTTTATACTGGGTTGTGGGGTTCAATAATTGTTTAAGAAGCAAGTTGCACATTGGAGAGTCATAATGAAAGCGAGTTACTTATGAGTAAATAATTTTTTTTTAATTATGATTAAAAATAAGTAAATTGCATGTGGGGGTACGTTAAGGTTGTAGGATTCTGATGCATGAAACCACTTTTGAAAGATCAAATTTTGTTTTTTAGATTAAAAAGTTATTTCTAAACATATTTAAATTATTTTTTTAAAGCGTATAAAAGTTTTTGTTTTTTAGATGAATCCGACATAATCATAAAGACGGCTAGATTAATTATTATCATTATTCAAAGGAAAATCCATGTTTAATAATAATAAATTAAATGTTCGACTAGGGCTTTTTAAAAGAAATAATTATAGGTGAACTCAATTTCAATGTTTAATTACTATTGTTTATGTCACTATATAGACGAAGACTTCGATGAAGATAAGAACATGTGAATTTAATAAATCGTGTAAAACATGGAACTTCACATCAAATGCACAATATTTCTTAGTAAATCGTGTAAAACATGTAACTTCACATCAAATTCACCATATTTCGTAATAAATAAATTCATTGGTTGAGAGAGATGTTAATTAATTGTAATTTCTTCCAAATTTAATTAATTCTATATCCCAAGTTCTTCATCTTGTCTTAGAATAAAGTTCTCTAGCTACTCTCAAATAAAATATGATTTCATTCGTAATATATGAGATGTCGACCCAAGCGGCCAAGCATGCTCGCTAGCTATTCTCTACAAAATAGTGTATCCTAATTTTCTAATAGATATATTATTGTGTCATATCGTCATTTAGACTGAGAAAAAGATGTTAAGTCTGTGTTTGGTATACATTAATTGGCCAAAAGAATAAGACCGAGAAAAAATCCATGTTTAATAATATTAAATTAAATGTTTAGTCATTTAGACCAAGAAAAAGACTTTTTCTTACTATTCCACCCACCATTTTTGACTTGTGATCTCACACATGGGTCCCGCCTACAAGTCCAACGATCAAAATTTTTCTTCTTATTTCTTGTAAAATGTATACCAAATGCAGGCTAAATGTCATTGAAAGTTAAGTTCTTTTTTCGTGGTGAATTAGGTTTTATAACTATTAAATAATTTATATTCTCCAATAGAACTTACAAGGTATTTGCATATTAGTTTTGACTTATTTATTTTATTCTTTTTAAGAGCTTTAACCATTTGATTTATCAACAAACCACCTCATTGAGAATAAAGTATTGCAACTCACCCAGTGCTTCTCTAATCAAAATAAAAGACCTTCATTCTGGTAGGCAAGGTACAACATGTGTTGACTCGCTTGACACTTTGACAGATCAGTTGAGGGGGCTCTTGGACCCTGGCCA